GACAGAGGACTCATATCCAATATATATAAAGAACTAAACAAGCTGAAAAGCAACAAACCAAGTAATCCACTTAAAAAATGGGGAACAGAGCTAAAGAGAGAATTCTCTGTAGAGGAATATCGAATGGCAGAGAAGCACTTAAAGAAATGCTCAACCTCATCAGCCATTAGGGAAATGCAAATCAAAACAACCCTGAGATTTCACCTTACACCCATCAGAATGGCCAAGATGAAAAACTGAAGTGACAACACATGCTGGAGAGGTTGTGGAGAAAGGGGAACCCTTCTCCACTGCTGGTGGGAATGTAAACTGGTACAACCACTCTGGAAATCAATCTGGCGCTTTCTCAGACAACTAGGAATAGCGCTTCCTCAAGATCCAGCCATACCACTCCAAAAGAGGCTCAAGTACACAAAAAGGACATTTGCTCAACTATGTTGGTAGCAGCTTTATTTGTAATAGCCAGAAGCTGGAAACAACCCAGATGCCCCTCAACTGAGAAATAAATGCAGAAACTGTGGTACATCTATACAATGGAGTATTACTCAGCAATGAAAAATAAGGAAATCATCAAATTTGCAGGTAAATGGTGGGACCTGGAAAGGATCATCCTGAGTGAGTTGTCCCAGAAGCAAAATAGACACGCATGGTATATACTCACTCATATAAACATACAATATAGAATAAACCCACTAAAATCTGTACATCTAAACAAACTAAGCAAAAGAGAGGACCCTAACTAAAATGTTCAATCCCCAACCTGAAAGGCAAAGAGGATGGACATCAGAAGAAAACGAAAATAGGAAACAACCTCGGAACCCGCCACAGAGGGCCTCTGAAAGCCAGAAGAAAACAGGAAACAACCTTGAAACCTGCCACAGAGGGCCTCTGAAAGCTTCTGCAGTATAGACTGTCAAAGCAGATGCTGAGCCTGATGGCCAACTGATGGGCAGAGTGAATGGAATTCTATGTAAGAAGTGGGAAATAGTAAGAGCTGGAGGGAACGGGAACTCCACAAGGAGAGCAACAGACAAGATAATTTGAACACAGAGAACTTCCCAGAAAATCATACTCCAACCAAGGACTATTCGTGGAGACGACCTGGAACCCCTGCACAGGTGTAGCCATGGCAGTTCAGTGTCCAAGTGGGTTACATAGTAATGGGAAGAGGGACTGCCTCTGACATAATCTGATTGGCCTGCTCGTTGATCACTTCCCCCTGAGGGGGGAACAGCCTTACCAGGCCACAATAGAGGACAATGCAGCCACTTTTGATGAGAACTGATAGACTAAGATCAGAAAGAAGAGGAGAACCTCCCCTATCAGTGGACTTGGGGAGTGGCATGCATGCAGAAAGGGGAGGGAGGGTGGGATCGGCAGGGGAGGAGGAAGGGGCTTATGGGGGGATACAAAATGAATAAAGTGTAATTAATAAAAAAAAGAAGAAAAAAAATATTATATCCACTTATGTATCCTAGAATTTGGCAAATAAATATACATTTACATAAAAAAAAGAAAAGTAGGAATAATAAGTTTAATTAATAAAAAATTAAAAAAAAGAATGTCTACACAGATGATAATACCTTTTTGGCAATATATGTTTAGAGGGAGAAAAGTAAATATTGTGTTCCTTTAGAATCTGACCTAACCAAATGACAGGTGCTTCCTCTGCAACTTCATGGAATTTAAATTACAGTAACGAGAGCTCCCAAAATAGTTTATAGAAGTATGTTCAGATAATCTGACACAGTATATATGAATTCTAGTCCAGTTCATTTAGGCAACTGAAACACTTATTTTTTTATGTAGTCCTAATTGTATCAAACACTGTGATAAGCTGGGAATTTAAAAATGAATAAAGCATACTCTGCTCCCATGGAAACATGCCTAAACACACTTACACATCCTTGTGCGTCTGAATTATAATGTGATGAATTCTCATTACAACAAACTATTTTGACATCCACAAAGCAGTGTTTAATTCTGAATGCTATTATTAAAAAAAAAACTTATAAAAAATACTTGTACTTCTACTTGAAGGCACTTTACCAAATGAGAAAGACTTCATTACACAGTAAAAGAATGTGAGGAAGGAATCTGAAATGAGAGAAGAGGAATGTGGAGCTGGAAAGGGAGCTCCACAGAAACACAGAAGTTAAGTGGCACTATGGGGAAAGAAAAGGCCATTGAATCTAAGAAGCAATGTGTGGAGAGAAACGGTGGGTGGTGCTCTGTGTGTGTATCTTGTTAAAACAACCTTGATCAAAATAGCCAATAAACTAAGCATATCTACCATGCACATCCTTACATTCTCAAGGTCTGCCTAATTAGATGGCAAACTTTGTTATGGAAAAGAAAAAAAAAAAACATTTGAACAGTTGGTGTGCTCTGTCTGAATGGATGCCATTTGGAGCATTGACTTGCAACACATACCTTTTACAGCCCTTGCTCTATCTATGCATTTTATTACATGGGGGCTAAACACTTAAATGAGCGGCATAATTTTTCCTGAAGCTCTGCTAGCAGCAGGCTGGTGTTAATATCGCTCTAAACAGTCATTTTCATAATCTCTCATTAGGAAATTACATTTCACAAATAGCAAAAGTTTAGAGGAAATAAAATTAAAATGAGACTAGAAACATGAAAACCCATGAGAGATTGCTCAGTAAACACCACTGATGTTCTACTACTTCCTTGATCTCAAGCACCTACTTCTATTTATGGTGCACAGTAGAATGCTCATCTGAGAGGAGGGAGCTGACTATAGAACTACAGATTTGGCATTCTCACCGAGTATAGTGATTTCCCACGGCTCACACATGACAGTGATCTATAACACATGTCATCTAAACAGGCCTCCCCATTTTGCATTTAATCACATTAATACCTGCTTGCTGAATAATATGTGATGGATTTTGGAAAATCTAACCCAATATTCAATAAGACCTGTTAGAGAACAACTGGGTGTTCATTCTATGTTAAACACTGTACTAGGTGCCCTTACATTCTCTTATTTAACTTTCCAACTGCCTAGGGGACACTTGGAGTATTATAAATTAGCACTTGAAGAAACTTACCTAAAACATCATTTTGCTTTGTGAAAAAAAAAGGGGGATATAAAGAAGTAACATGTGTAATGTAAAGAGGACCCAAATAGAAATACTGCTAGAGCCAAAGATGCAAAGAGTAAAAGGTCAAGGCTCCCAAAGTTAAAAAAAAAAAAAAAAAGCTGCAAAATACTTAATATACTTCCTCAGTGATAGACAATTGGCAAGCAGCACAAGGAAACACACCATCAACACCATCATTTAATTATCTTGAGGATACAAATTAAAAGTACAACAAAATACTAATGTACACGTGTCACAATGGCTGCAATGTTTTTAATTTTAAATGAATGGCGAAGTCAAGTGTTAGCAAGCGTCAGAAGGAACTTGGACTCAACATGCAAGAGAGAAAGTCATTGTATGAGAACTTTGGGGAAGGTTGTTTGGTTGTAAACAGTGAAACACATACTCACCATATCACCTGACCACTTTAGTATCGATTTAGTATTTATTTACCCAAGACAAAAACATCTAAACTCACAAAGACCTGTACAGGGAAGGCAATCACAGTTTGACTTTAACAGCCTAAACTGCATCCAAGCAAATTGTCCATAGTCAGGTAAGACAAACTGGATTTTATCTTCATGATGTAACACAGCAATAAAAAGAAACTAGTATTGGTGGAGTCCAGAGTGAACAGACTTTTCTACTCTGAGTAAAAGAAACTTAGCTTTGTGCCAGGATTATCTACAGTGTATAGGAGTCTAGAAAGTACAAACTAACCTATAGAGTGAGGAAAATCCAATCAGTGGGTGTCAGGGATCTGTGGCCAGGCAGGAAGAGTCAGAAATAGGAAGTGCAAAAGGATGCAGAGTTAAGTGGAAAATGTCGTTATCTGGGTGGTTTCACAGTAGTCAAGCTGAAACTGTGAAAAATATCTGAAATTTAGTATGTGGCAATTATCCCTAGACAAAGCTGTTCAAATAGTTATGCATGCCTCTATCCAGTAGCTTTTGCCATCAGCTTAGCGAGAATCATCACCCACATTTTAGCAAAGAATTGGAGAGGGAAAGAATTGGAGAGGTTGTTTTTAATATGTAAGTGCATATTCATTTTGTTAACACCCCCCCTCCTAAAAATTTTAAACATTCACTCAAGATTAACTGTTCATCATTGAGGAGAGTTGTAACTCATGCCTGTAGTCTCAGCTCTCCGGAGGTGGAAATCAGAATGCACGGCCAGCTTTGGCTACAAAAAGCAACACACCACTAAATCTTCTTCAGAATATTCTTTTTTAAAAAAGCATCTATCTCTACACCAACACCAACAAAACCACTAAAACCAGGCTTACAGCCAGTATGCACATTCTGTCTTCTAAAAGACAATGCGCTTTAAAAAACAGTCTATTACAGGTAAGAAGTTGCCCTTTGTGCTGGTCGTTATTTCCTTCCCTGTGTTCGTTAACGTAACCAGGGGTCCTTTGTAAAGCTGTCTTTGCATAGGACGATTTATTGTGCCTTTCCTTTCGATGCCGCTAGGTTCATAGACAGGAAAAGATTAGCGAAGAGAGACAAGAGTCAGTTCAGTCTTTCATCAATGAGTCACTGAGCCTGCTCTTACAACAGTGATTTTAATTTAGATAAACTAATCAACAACCCTCTATCTAGACCAGAATCTTATGTTAGTAATTCAGCACATGTTCTGGTATATGGCATCCATCTGTGTTTCCTTTCTCGAGGGCCTAGTGCCTCCATCCTGCCTACAGCGACGAAGGACAGTTAACGCGGCATCAGCGGCCAGCATCTCTCAGAACCCTGTGTCGTGGAAGAGAAGAGCCGTGTGACGCAGAGGTCATCGCTAAGGCCACATTCTTATTTAGACCTAACACTCAGCAGCAGACCTTGGGGGCTGAGCTTGCCTGGCCTCAGTTTCCCCTACTTTAAAACAGGAGTCATGCTGTCCTGTTTCTGGTTCTTGTCCAGGCACTTGGGCCCTGCACTGCTGTCCCTGCCCCGAACACTACACAGAATCACTGTCCCACAGTACTTGACCTCCAGGTATCTTTTAGTTCCCTTCCCTACCTCCCCTCGACGCCTGCTGGCCTCGGTGGACTCCTCACAGGACAGCAATGGGCCTGCCAGGGTGCGCCAGAACTTTCACCCGGATGCTGAGGCCGCCATCAACCGCCAAATCAACATGGAGCTTTACGCATCCTATGTGTACCTGTCCATGGCCTATTACTTCTCCAGGGATGATGTGGCTTTATACAACTTCTCCAAGTATTTCCTTCACCAGTCCCTGGAGGAGCGGGAACATGCGGAGAAGCTGATGAGGCTGCAGAACCAGCGTGGAGGCCAAATCTGCCTCCAGGATATCAAGAAGCCGGACAAAGACGATTGGGAGAGCGGACTGCGGGCCATGGAATGTGCTCTTCTTCTGGAAAAGAATGTAAACCAGTCGCTGCTCGACTTGCATACTCTGGCCTCAGAAAAAGGAGATCCTCATTTGTGCGACTTTCTGGAAACTCACTACCTGAATGAGCAGGTGAAGTCTATCAAAGAATTGGGTGACCACGTGCACAACCTGGTCACCATGGGGGCTCCAGCTGCTGGTCTAGCGGAGTACCTTTTCGACAAGCACACCCTCGGAGGTGAGAGCAAGAACTAAGGCAACAGCTGCCTCTCCAATACCCCTGTGGGTGCCACAGCCTGGAGTTAGTGGTCTCTTGCTTTCTTGCCCTTAAAATTCAACTCTGCCTTCACATTCTCCTCCTTTTTGGTCTGTTCTGCCAGCGTTTTGTAGAGAAAACATACTTAGCCTGCTGTTCACCACAGCTTTCTGCCAACACCAAAGTACTACTATTTTCCCAGCCTGAAAGATAGCCCAGAATACTATGGTATGAAAGGACAGAAAACAAAACACTGATATAAGCTACAAGATCAACTTCTTCGAATATTATTACCAAATGTTGTTCCTAACCATGAACTCAAGCTAAAATTCTTTGATTTTCAGTTCAACAATCCATACTGTCTTCAAGATCTGGTGCAAAATGCTCAGTGAGTGAAATATATAGTGCATAATACATAAATATCGATAACTCTAAGACAGAGAAGGTGTAGCGTACTTTGAAAATCACACGTGCAAATTTTTGACAACTTTTCCCAGTGTGCTTCAAAAAATGGCAGTGTATAGAAATGACCTAGTTATTTAAAAGCTTTCATGTCAAATTAGGTACTAGCAACATCAGGTATAAGTAGTGGTTTTGGACATGTCAGTGGATTCATGCTTTAAGGGCTCTGAGAAGACTTTTAATTAAACACACAAAATAAAAATTAAAAAATGCTTTATTTCTGTTTCAGTGTTTCTCAAACATATACTCTCTCAAGATAGGATGATTTGGGTTTGTTGTGTTATTCCTTTTGCCATTAAAAAAAATTAACTACATTATTTAAAAAAAAATAGTTTGGTTTAGTTTCAGATTCTATACCAGACTCTATAACCACAGGGTTGTCTATTAGAGAGGAAAAACCTTTCATAAAATGAATGTTATCCTGTTTAGAATGGGGGGAAAGAGAACTGTGGAGTAGAAAAGGTTGGAGAAAGGATACAGAATTCTACTGGGTAGAGGGCTTTCCGGAGGGAAGGGGTAAGACGAGTGGGAGTTGCTGGTGAACATGAACATGTATTGGAATCAGAAAGAACTATGTAAGGACTGGGGGAAAGGCCTGGGAATAGAAGTGTGTAGGTGTAAGGGACAGAGCATGTACGGCTGAAGTTAGGAACACAAAGGCCTCCCAGCCTTCCCACAGAGAAACGATCAAAACACTGAGTAACCGGCAAGTTAATCAGGAAACCACATGAATGTCAATGGTTAACTTGAATCTTCTGAGACACAGAAAACAAAAAGTTGGTATACAAGAAGCTAGAGGAAGCTTGGACTGCCTCAAAAGGAAAATGGGGAAAGAGTTTTGTATTTACTTTTAAAGGAAGGTCTTAAAACTCGTAAGAGTTGTACATTAGGCTTTTTGTAAATCTGGTTCCTGGGGAGGGAAAGAAGGGTGATATGAGTTGTTTGTTCCCTGGAAATCTGTATGGGGCTATCAGGAGACCTTCAGCCAAAATCAGAAGATTCTCGGTATCCCAGACATTGAACTGTCTCAGGTCCTTTCTGAAGTACTCAGTGATTAGGGCCTAACAAGTGCTGACTTTTAGAAGAGCAGCTTGGGGCCCTTGAAAAATTAGGGCCCCTGTAGGCTGTAATTCGAAGAGTAAACGCCCATGATTACACAGATTCAACTGTTTCCAGCGGAACACCACACATGGGAAAAACCACGGGAGCTGCCGTTACATCCAGTTTTGCTAAATATGTTCGGATGTGGGCATAAATTTCTAATGTCATTATTTTAAGAGCAACCTCTGCCACACACAGTGTTACATTACATAATTCTAAATATATAGGAAGAAATGGCAAAAATATTGAACACCAGATAATAAAGTGACTGGAAATATATATATCAAGTTTATATCTTCTTTAGAAATGACATTGGAATTGACATTTTTAAAGATAATCTGTCTTTTAAGACAAGTTTCTTATGGCTATCCATTATTATCATAAGAAAAACAAAGTATAAGATGTAGAGAAAGACAAAGTCTTGTACTATGGTTAAAATTATGGAATAATTTCAAGTTATTAAGCAGACTAGAAACAAATGGATACTAGTGAGAATTCAGAGGTGAAATCATTTGTGATAATCATCAAGTGAATGAAAAAAGTGACAAAAACAGGATATGGAGAGAAAACTGATGTGTCTCAAGTCAGTTACTGGAAAAATGTGGAATTTAAAAATAAATAGTGCTCTCAGCAGGATATCTAAGTAGAGGCGGGGAGAGTGTGTGTTGGCTCCCGTTTGCTTGTGTTGATTACTCTCATTTTCCATGTTATTCTGAAGTAGTCTGTTTTGCTGCACAGAAATCCTATTATCTGTCTTTAGAAAATTTCCTCTTCAGTTTTGCTAGATGAGTGTTTTTCAAACAGCACATCGTAACCCATTAGCATGTCGTCAGATTGGTGAGTCACTATCCACTTTCTGCGAACAAAATAGACTTGGGGTGAATGTGAAGTAACGATGCTGTCTACGATATTTGCTTGAGGTGTATGCGTGTGCGTTCCAATGAATTTACATTTTAGAGTGACATTTCTTATTCTGTTGCTGTCACAAACATTCAGCAACTCTTCTTTTAGATAATTATTTTATAGTCTCCTAGCTCCTCAAATCTCCCAATCTCTTTTTCTTACTGTCAGTGATAATCCTTTTAATCACTGAGAAATTAGAAGCAATCACAGAAAATTTTCACTGTGTCCTCACTGAATTAAACTTACTGTTAAGTCTGAATATATTTGGTTGGGCTTCCAGTTAGGCTTCAACGGTGGGAGTAAGCACCCACAGCCTCTCACGGAATCCTCACACACCAGATACCTACAGTAACCCGCTCTCGCATAGATCTCTCATCTTCATTAGTTGATTCCCATAAGAATGTAAACTGTCTTTCTCCTCAACTTTAACAAATAACACTATCCTTACACTCAAAAAACTTCTGGAAGCTATAAAGCTATATCACCCTGCACCACCACTTTACATTTCTTACAAAAGTTCTACTCCCTTCTTTCACTCTTCGATTACCCTCACCTGGTCATTCCCAAGTCTAGCTTCACACAAATTTTGTTTCCCTTGTCAAAGTCATGTGACTTCTGTGTTTCTAAATTCATTTCCAACCCTCTTCTTATTCAATACTGGCACTGCCTGAGATCTCTCACTGTTCCGTACCTTAGTCATCTTTTTAACCCCCTCTTACCCTCCTGACTTTTAAAACTTGAACCATTCTGGAGTGTTGTCCTTGCAATTACATTTCTTATATACACCTGCATTAGTTCTTGAAGATCTCATCAAACCCAGTAAGTTTTATTTTATTGTAAATCACATGATTGCAAATAATTCTCTCCTTTGAGCTCTGAATTTGAGTACCAAATACTTGACACTTTTCTTGAGCTGTCCGTCAGATATCTCAAGTTTGTCCTGTTTAAAGTCACATTTTTTATTTCCATTGCCCTCCAAAGCCTGTATATGTCCATCTTTTTCTTCCTATAAATACAATTCCATTCTAATACTTTCCATGATCCAGCCATACATGACTCCCCTCTTTCTTTCCATTTTATAGTCCAGAACTTCAACAAATTCTTTCACTGCCACTCCCTAAAACCTCCACTTTTCATATTAGCTCTCATCAATTCTTACATCATCTACATCACACTCTTTACGGGTCTGACTGTATCCACACTTATGCGTATAGTCTTACTTCTCTACAAAGCAGCAGCCAATGTGGGTTTTATTTTATTGAGTTCATCCTTAGTGCTTCTTGTTTTACTTCTCGAAATTATTTAATGAGGAAAAAGTCAAGGTTGGGATGTGTACTATGCTCTGTGTGATTTGATTCCATATGCTTCTTGGACCAGATTCACTTTCTGTGTATTTATGAGTGTTTGTAACACGTGGTAAGACTTGAGAGATTGTGTGTATGTATCTGTGTCTCTCTCTCTGTGTGTATGTGTATGTTAAGTTTCAAGGGTCGTCACTATTCCTGAATGTTGGATCCATCAATGTTATCTCTTTATAATGAAAACAAGAAAAAATGAAAGAGGAAGGAGGAGAGAAGGAGCAGGAAGAGGGTGGGGAAAATCGGGGGGGGGGGGGAAGAGAATGCCTTTTGGTCAGTACACCAGCCATATTTGTCCCGCCTAGCTCCTGTACCTCAAGCCTTTGTGATGAACACTTTCCCTCCAAAAGCAAATGCTCCCTTCACATCTCTGATTGCCATTGGATAGAGACTTCTGGATCATCCATTCCAATTTAGTAACTGTCTTCTCTATTTCTGGGTTCTTCTATTTTGATTTTCTTTTCTCAGTGGCATTTATCACCACCTGACACATTTTTTGGTTTACTTAGAATTTCTTCTCTCAAGTTCCATGGACCAGACCCTTCGTTTTGTTCGAAATTGTCATCATAACTCTAGCGACCTTCCTGCCTGCTAATAAGTCCACAATGATAATGATTAAAATGTCTTGAAACTAGCTAGAAGTACTAACAGGGATATTTAGAAAAATTGGAATTAGAACTCATGTACAAAATTCTCATAAATTTTTAAATGAAAATTAGGAGGGTATATCAATCTTGGAGAAGGGGATCTGGAAACTTCTCAGGATGATGTTACCAATTAGCATTGCTATTAGTACCCAAAAGAAAAAGGAAATCAGGAGACAGGCCCAAATACAGAAATTTATTAACTGATAGGCTCTAGATTTAAGGCAGATTAAACTTTAAATTCCTTGAAAAGATTCAGAAACAGAAGATAAAAATACCAAGACAAACAACAATGTAAAGAGGCAGCACTGGTCTTAAAGCCATGAAAAGAGTTCCTCTTGGACAGGGCAGAGTTTACAGCACCTGTAGATGGAGAGACCATCAGAGCTGGTGATAGGAAAGTCAATAGTTATTTCAGAGTAATGCCTTTAGGAGTGGTGGAGGCAGAATGTCAAATCAGATTAAGGGAAATGAGGTGGAAAATACAGAACTCTTTTTCAAGGGCTTTTTTTTCCTCTTTAATCAAAAGCA